CCTTGGGATGCCAGTAAAGACCCGAACAACGATCTCATCGGAAGTCGTGTAGTGATGCGGTCAAAGTGTTCGAAAAGGGAATCCCTCTGATACATACGGCTTAATGATTGACTTTGTGCCGAATGAAGCGCTTGGTGAAACAATGGACCATAAAAATGATATCGATGCTTTGGAATTCGTTGAGGAACGATTAAAGTCACTGTTTGTCATATCTAATAAAAATAAATTTTTTGGAACAGTGAATTGGATGGTAAGTTGATGGAGGCAAGAAAAGCACTGTCGTTTTCACATAACCGCAAGTAAAAAGGGTTAGATTCTCGTGGGAAGTTCCAGAAAGATAAGGATCAACATGAATATCTTTAAAAAACGTATGTCTGCGTAGAATGCAGGAGCGGTTATGCCGAAAACGTGGACGGTTTGATAAAGGAAAAACAGTAGCGGAAAACTGCCTTGGATGCGGTTGAAGTGGTCGTCAACTCAACGGGGGCATGCTAGATTGTGAGCATGATCCGCAAGTTCAGCGGATCATTATCATCGTCTTTGACCTAGAGGCCATCTAGGCGGGCAGCGGGAAAAAGGCATATAAGAAAGTGCTCGAACTTAAAGCTTCCATTTCAGGCGAACCCTGAGGAGGACTGCAGACTTGTTGTTAAAGGGTCAGAGTGGTCTCAAGGGTTAGAGTTCGAGGGTTATCCCGTACCGATCCACGATAATCGAGGGCATTTTGTCTTGCAGCTGTAGGTGAGAGCCAAGCGGCCTTCAACTTCATCGCATCGTCGTGAAGCGCCACTTAAAAGAGTTCCTCTCCAATGCCAACGGCCAAGGAAAACTTCATCTGTTTCTATTCTGTGTTCTGTGTTATTCATAAACCATTTATAATGTTAGTCTTCTAGCCTTAAGTACCTTTTTCTACCCGCTCCACACATCTTTCTCAAATCTGAACTCAGTTATTACAAACGTGAAAACAAACCGTGAAATGTGGTCAATGTACGCATTTTTGTTCAAACATCTTTTAGTGAATCGACCAGGCATTTCAAGCTCATCGCTGACTTGCAACGAAGCCCAAAGGATCTCATCTACTCCATAAGCCTGAAAAAAATTGATTTACGTGTTCCGCTCTACGGCTTGAGCTGGCCTTCTGGACAGGAGGCAAAAGCACTTTCCAAAGGCAAGGTCCCATAAAAACCAAGATAAGATGTAAGTATTCATCAAAATTTAGCAACTTGCAACTGAACGTTATTTTCCCTCTTTTTCTTATTAATCGTTGGTGTTGTAAGTAAAAATGAGTACATGGATTTTGAGAATCCTTCTTTTCATTAGAGCTTCTCATAAATTCTAAACGTTTGCATTTTTGTCAACACCCCGTTATAGAAGCACTGATACTGTAGTGCCGTTTGCTCTGTAAAAATTCCAACC